TTGACACGTTTTTCTCCCTCCGTCCCTAGAGATCGTTTTCTCAAACGCAGATAAAACACTGCTCAAAGTCATGCCACGTTTAGCAAGTTTGATCATTGCTCCTTCTCACGCACACAAATGACAACATGAGGCCGAGAGTGCCTCGTGTGAACTTGAAGTTCGCGTGATGAGCTGAGGGACATACCCTTCAACTAGCTTCATCCTTTTCAGAGAGATATCGCTCATAATAATGCTGTTTGCTCTCGACCGGAACTTCTTCTGCTATCACGATCCATGTCCCCCCGATCTCCTCAGTGCTACCAACGTCCGGATGAAGAATGGGACGAGAACTCCTCCTACGCGTTCGAGCTCTAATTTTCTTCAACTCGTATGTTACTATATCGTACCCGCTGAAGATTGCGCCTCCCTATCTAGCATTGTGATCCAGTGAACAGTACCGAGAAAGAGAGGCTGACATCAAACGTTACAAAGCGCAAGGTAGGGAGCACTTGTCCAAAAATCAAAGCATCGCTTGAGCGACCAGGTGCGTGATCGCCGTCGGAGTAGTTGCTTTGAACATAAAGGGGTAAGGTAGGAGTGCCTGCGAGCGGAATTAACTCACAGGTTTAGGGAGGTGAGATATTTGAGGATCGACAGCTCTTGCGCATATAGCCTCTTGAGATTGCACCAAGGTCACTGTCTCATCGGTAGAGAAAGCTCCGACGCACCAAATCACCAGTCCATCGAAGCATACCAAAGGCTCCCCTATGAATTTTCAAGTGTGCAAGCATCGGAAAAGCTACAGCAATGCTCCCAAAGAGCCCGTACCCCATTTCTTCTGTTTCCCGCTTAGGAATGTTGAGGAGTTCAAAAGACCGAAGTTCTGGAAGGCGACCAGAAAATGTTCGTAAAACGGAGGTTATATCGCTTGGGGTCAGAGAGGTACAATCGATGGAGAGCCTTTCTAGCGAGCCAGGGGCATCGAATTCCTATAGTCGCAGTTGTTAACCTAGATCCTGGTTGGAATGTAACGAAGGAAGAAAACTAACATCGAAAGCTTGCAAAATATCATGCATTTCTGCTCGTGCGACGTGGTCCAGTTCTAGACACTCCAATGGCCGCATGAATAGTTCATTGCCTATCCATGCGAGGGATCCAGACGGCTGATGAGAAGATGTAACGAGGTTTGATTTGTTGTTTGCTAGCTTGAGATGCCTGAGATTTGGAAGGGCGAGAATCAAAGGTTTGATGAAGGAGTATTCCGATTTCGAGACGAAGAGAGATCGGATGGTGCGGCTCTCAGAAGTGGGAGGGAATGCATCTTGAGGGATGCAAGATAGGAGGAGGACGCGCATGGTCTTCTTTTCGAAAGCAGCGGAAATCAAATCTTGAAGCCATTCGAGCTGACTTTCAACACAATTCTCCAGTCCACTATAGCAGAAGAGGGCGATTTTCAGCTCTTGCAGAGAAACCAGTTCGATGCTGGATTTTCCCATAATGTCATTCGGCTTCCGTGAACCAGAGGCGTAAAGCCTTCGTACCAACGGTAGAATTGAAGGTTGTGATATCCAGCGGTGGAAAGAAACGGCATCTTCAATTTTATCGAGCGAGTAAGTGTCGACACGGACACTGATACTGTGCCAAATTCGCTGTCGTGTAACAGCACAGAGATATTGGTTCGTGAGACAAAATGGAAGTACATCATCTTTGGAGAGGTGCCGGACTATCTGAAAAATTATTTCAGGTGGAAGCGATACTAGTTCTGCAGGAGCTTTCTCATGAGACCCTCCTGTCCACTGCATAAACACCTGCTGGGGTCGACAAGAGGGAATCAACGCACCCTTCTCTACGTCTCTATCCATGTTCATGTTAAATTTTGGAAATTCAAGTCTGCTAAAGTGAAACTGAAAAAGTGTCAAGGGAAATGCCGCTCATTTCTTATCATCTGCGTCTGTGTAATCAGTCATCTGTCAAAAGCTAAGGTTCGGAACAATTTCTGTCCTTCTACAGGCACGTAATGTGTTTGGATTGAACTCATGATGGATATTGCCAGTCGATAGAACAATTAGGCATCAACCTGCATTTCCTGCATCGTTTCCCTCTCCACCGTCTCCCCATCCTTCCTCCCATACTTCTTCGCCAACCACACCAGATACTCAAGCGAATGTCCCTTCCCACCCCTCAAAACTCTCTCCTCCAATCCTCCGCCGAGTTCAATGGTGGGAAACCAAATCACTCTCCCCTCATCGTCCCTCCTCACCTTCTCCGCGATCTCCTCCGGCACCTCCTGCCACTTCCCGCCTTGGGCACGAAACGCGTCCGCGGCGGCTTGAGCGACGCTTTGTCGGTTCGTCTTCTTGGAGGCCGTGGCGAGGGCGGGGTTGTTGGGTGAGGGACGGGGAGGTCTCCACCAAATCGCGTTTTGGAGCACTGACGGTCTTGGAGCTTGACGGGGTTGCGGGTGCGACTGTTGCTGTGGATGAGAAGAGTGGGCGTATGTCGAAGTCGCTGTTGCGGATGATGAGGCTGGACGGGGACGTTGTTGGTATGGAGTTTGGGGTTGTAGGGCTGGAGGCGTCGATGGTACGGATATTGGGGTCGAGGAAGGTTGGGGCTGCGATTGCGATTGGGGTGCTGGAGAGTTAGAGAACCCGAGAGAGCTCATGGTCCTCGCTGGGAGTTTGATTTTCGGTCCCTTTTGTTGTTGTATTGTTAACGCAGCTGGAGTTGCAGGCATGGGCGGCTGAGCTGCGCTGGGTTCTTGAGTCGTTGAAGTGGAAGCTGAAACGGTGATGGGAACAGATTGGGCTGGAACGGATGAGGATGGGATGTCTGCGGGCATGGTAGGGCTCAAAGCTGAAGTCGCAGGCAGGACGGCATCGTCTCCTGTGTACGTGACGGATCCAACATTGACTGCACCACCAGGAGCGAATGGGGACTTGTATTTCTTCAGCTTCGCCGGAGCAGGAAACAGGTCCATCTCGTCTGCACAATGTCTCATCAGCATGAATTTTACTGACAGAGAGGAGAGAGATGTACATTCTGTTTGTGCCAGCTTCCCTTCCTCAGGCATCTGTCCCGCCCAATTCTTGATCCTACTGAAGCTCTTGCTCTTGTCAATGTACTTGTGTTCGCACACGTAAACGTCCATCCCCGGCTCCCATAGAGGTTTCTTCGGCCTCCCGCGGACGTAGTAGGAGATGAACATGACGAAACAGCGAGCGATGAAGTCGTCCGCCCTGTCCATGTCATGTCACAGGATGAGTTCGTTCCGTTTGGGATGAGGACGAGAATGCATACACTATCTCGACGATGTTGCTCGTCTTGAACACTTCGTTTTCGTAAAAGGTACGAGATGCATTGTGCATCGTTTCCTCGGGGCGAAAGAACCAACAAACAGAAAGGCACCGTTGTCCACTATCCACACCACATCATCATCCTTCAGTACTTCCTTGAACAATTGGAACGCAAAAAAAACATACTCCGTCCTCTTATACGTCGCATAAACCTGCGCAATAGTCGGCTTCGCAGGATTCTCATGGTTCGCCACATGAATCCAATCCCCGACCCTCAACTGCTCTCCCTTCATCTTCACGCTCTCCAGTCCCGTCGTATCCTCCATCGTCCATTCCTTCTTCCCTCCCACGTTCGGAACCTTCGTCAACTCGTGATACCGCCGTTGGAGCGCGAGGATGTCGCCGTATATTGGGGAGGGGGGAGCGTGCTCCAGTCGCGCGTTCTTGAAGAGACGGTGGAGGTCGCGGTCGAATGATTCTGCGGTGGGATAGGCTTGGTTGTTGACGTTGGTCTGTGTCATATCATATTAAATTTGTCAGTTATAAAGCATAGGGAGGAAGGGAAAACAAACCTCGATTTGGTCTAGTGAAATGGGATCGGAGATCTGGACGTAGTAGGATGGGTTCGCTGCTGGATCCGGGAGAGAGATGAGTGGAGCGGCGAGCTGACGGTCTTCGAATGTTTCGGAACGGAGTGCCTTGAGTATAGACAGGTACTTGGGGATCATTCCCTGTTGCATGATAGGAATGTCAGATGAGAACTAGACAGGAGGGAAGTGTATTTGCTGCAACAGTAGGAATGGATGTTGGTGCCCAGAAATAGGATAGCGACGCAGCATACGAAAGGAAGCGCTCCTCAAGTCATGAAAGTAACCTCCCCAAAACCGAAAGAAAAGAAAGAGGGAAACTCACAGGTCCGTCGCCTCTCATCCACCCAGTCCTATCATCCACTTCCCTCCCACTAGGTCCATAAACAGGCTCCGCTTTATCCACTCTCTCCAACCTGACCTTCAACTTCTTACTCTCCCTCGCTCCCTCTCCCTCTCCACCCTGCGCTTGCGCATCATCCATCTCCTCCGTCGCCTTCCGCTTCTTCCCAACCGTCAACTTGATCTTCTTCGGCTTCTTCTCCTCCACACCTACTGCCGGTGCTGCCTGCGCAGAAGAGAGAACTTGACCGGCAGAAGGAGAGGAGGGTCCCACAACAGGGAGGGGTTGAGTCTGAGTGGACTGTCTAGGAGGAAGCTTGAGCTTGATCTTCAACCCGCCGCCGCCAGATCCTCCCGCGCCAGCACCAGCGCTAGAACTTCCCAGGGCAGATGGCTCCTGAGGAGACAGAGTCGTCGAAGTCGAACCATCCTTGCCTGCTGCTTGGGGGCCAGTGGAAGGCGGAGCGGGTGGCTTGAACTTGATGCGCCGTAGCCCTTTGATGGGTATCGCGCGTGAGGATTCTGTCGGTTGGGGGTTGTCCATGGCGAGGGTCACGCAGACTACAAGACGCGTCGTGAGTGACAAAAGAAGATTGTGGAGTGAAGAAGGTCGGAAATGCAAGCTTGCCGTAGTTTGTCCGTAGTATCAAGTTCTGAATCCATGCCCGACTGATATAAATTTGATCGATTTGATCTTTGATGATATTGCCATGGTAGATAATAAATAAATGATACCGATAAAAAGAAGGAGTGCGGAAGAATGAGCACACAAAAAAAGAAGTTGCGCAGCCAAAAGTCTCCCCTCTCGGGATCGAACCGAGGACACCCAGATAACAAGCCAATTACAGTCTGATGCTCTTCCAACTGAGCTAAGGAGAGGAATTATACAGAGAAGTGCGATTTTGTAAACTAGAATACAGAAGTCAGTGGTTGCCGCTCGAACTTTCTACTTGATATTGATCTGGTCCATCAATCAGTTGGGAACATCTTGCGCGAGCGAAGAAGGTGAGAAAGGAAGGAAAGGATTGATAGGAGCTTCTCAAACTCTTCCTCTGCCTCACACGGTACGTCTATCCAAGCTGGCAACATCCGTTCTATTACCATTTCAACCATGCGCGTCGATTTCGATTTCGATCACTTGTGCCTTCTTGCATTATTTCAAGAAGCGTTTCTTTGTCGTCCTTCAGGTTCAGGGAGCATGTGTCCGGCTGTTGCCAGGGATCATCGTAGCTAGCTGGAGGCATATGGAAGCGATTTGTGCATTGACCGATGTGTGTGTGCCATCCCGCTTGCAGGTATCTGGCATGCATTATCACAGTGTCGAAGAGGGGCTACACGATCACGTATCATAATAGTTCTGCTAGGAGAGCCCCAAGTGACAGTTCAAGTTCAAAGACCGGAGCGCGGGATGCAAGTTTTCATCAGCTGGTGTCGCTCTTTGGAGTCTTCGGGAATGAATGGGCACTGAAGGCGGGCATGATTCTTCTTTTTCGACCTCTTTTCGCCCGTTTCGGCCCCAACAATGATCGTACCAAACTGTGGTAGGAACAAAGTGGTAGAGCGCTAGATGTATGGCCTGTACATTTCTCGTTCCTCACCACCTTTTTTTTGTGGTTGGCGAAGCGCTTGTCCCCAGACTCGGCGATAGACCGCTCCTATCGGCAACCGCCGGTAACAATCACCCCGCAGAGTGAAGCGTAACTCACTTCCTGCTTCTTCCTCAGAACGACTAAGCAACGACCTGTCAAAAGCGACGCTCGGGAGGATATAAAAGAAGACATCTGTCCCTTACTCCCATTCATCAAGCTTCCCATCTTGACGAAGGAACGAACCATTCAGAATGACTTCTGTCCCAAAGACCATGAAGGCTCTGTTGCTCAAGAAAGCAGAGGGAAAACCTGGTGCGTAATTCATCCGGCGCCATTGAAGAGAGTTCCGATCGTGGGATCGCTGGAACAGGCCAGGTCTACCATCCTGCAGTTGTGGAAGAGATTCCGGTCCCTGAACCGAAGGAGGGAGAGGTCTTGGTCAAGTTAATTTCTGCAGCTTACAATCACCGGTATGTTGTTGCTTTTGCAAAGTTGCGACTAATCGCAATGACAATTGCTTTCTGTGTGTTAGTGACTTCTATGTTCGCCAATCCCTATATCCCGGTATAACCTTCGACCATCCCTCCATCTTTGGCTCTGACGGGTACGGAGTCGTTGTCTCTCCTCCCTCTCATCCATTATACGAGAAGACCGTCCTGGTGCATTCAGCCGTCGGCTGGATCTCCTCTCCTACAGGTCCCGACCAACCATTTCGCTTCGGAACACTGGGGAACCTCCAACCTTCCAAAGGCAGAGGCACATTTGCAGACTACATCGTCGTAGACGCCGACCACGTCGTAAAGTGCCCAGAAGGATTGGGAGAGGACGCAGCTGCCATACCGCTTGGGGGATTGACCGCTTGGAGAGCGGTGGTTACCAAAGGAGGTGTGAAAAAGGACGATAACGTCCTCATCACGGGCATTGGTGGAGGTGTTGCTGTGCAGGCGTTGCAATTTGCAGTTGCCTTAGGTTGGTCGTTTCTTTCTTATCCTTTTCTCTCAGTTACTGACCATGGAGATAGGCGCCAACGTCTGGGTCACCTCCGGTTCAGAAGACAAGATCGATAGAGCCAAATCGATGGGAGCGAAAGGTGGTGTGTCCTATAAAGATCCGGATTGGGTGAAGAAGCTTGCAGCTTTATTGCCGAAGGACAAACCGGTGCTTGACACAGTCATCGATTCGGGTGGAGGCAAAATAGCCCTGCAGGTGCCTAAGATCATGAAAGCTGGAGGTTTGTCAATCCCTTTCCTTTCGAACTGAGAGCATTTTACTAACTCCAGCATAGGAATCATCGTCATTTACGGAATGACGCAAGGCGGCGAAGTCCCAGTCTCTATGCATCTCGTCCTACAGAACATCGAGCTCAAAGGTCATTCCCCATTCTCCAATCGTGCCGTTGAGTGTGGCGCTCAAATTTGCTGGCAGGGTCGACTATGGGATCACTCGAGGAATTTAGGGCCGCGGTCGAGTTCATTGGAAAGCACAACATCAAACCGGTGGTGCACAGCTATATTGACGGTTTGGAGAACGCGGAAGAAGGATTTCAGACTCTCAAGGTTCGTTCATACAATCACTCGTCCCCGCGTCTTTGTAAAAGAATGCTTGCTTACCTTTCCTTTCTGTTACAATTCAGAATGGATCGCAGTTCGGGAAGGTATGTACCTGTTTCGAAGTACAGGAGACTGGCTAATGCGGGCTCTCGCCAGGTTGTAATAAGGATCGAGAAGAAGAATAACAATAAGTTGTAAATGTATTTTCAGACTGTGCCAGTACGATAAGCTACCTCTGAGTCAGCCAGCATACAGGAGCTCTGTTCAAGCGTTTAAGCCCTCCCCGCCCTCCGCGAGGACATTTCCGAGCCTGCTGTCAGCACTTGCGGATTACTCTCCCCGTCCCCGTCTCCCGTGCTGACAAACCTGCGGGACCTGAGCTAACGTCAGTCGTTCATCCGTTCAGTTCTCAGAAGAACTGCCAATCATCGAGTTACTTATGACGCAACGGTCCCTGTCCTGCCGCTCTCCACAAATAAGCTGAGCAGCCTATCTGTTTACTGTCGCAGACAACATTGAAAATGGCTTCCAAGCCAGTCTTGAATTGTGGGTGTTTCAAATATTTCAAGAAACATCTGGTCATTGCTTCTGGTATTACAGATGGTCCAAATGGCCAGTTCCTCCGAGACGTGTCTGGCTTCAGAGATGAAATCAAGAAAGGAGGGGAGTTTGAACCTGAGAAAGGGAGGTACTGGATTTACGCCTCGTATGGGGTGCATATTTGTCTTTTCTTTTAAGCCAAGATTAACTGCAAGTTAGTGCCCTTGGGTCAGTCACCATGGTTTACGGGATAACCGTAGACTCACCATCAGCAGGCACATCGAACGCTGATTACACGCAAGCTCAAAGGTCTAGAAGACACGATCGGTAAATATCCTGACAATTGGCACTGTTCTGGAGCATGAAATCGTTGATAATTGTTAAAGGCGTCTCTATCGTCTACCCCCAAGTTCCGTGGGGCTTCAAACGGCCAGACGACATCGATGCGAACAAAGACCCCATAGAAGACGGAACGTGGGATGTGGAGCCTCTGGAAAACGTAACTATGCTCAAAGAGATATACGAAAAGGCGTCCCCTGGATACAGTGCCCGAGTTACGGTGCCTGTGCTATGGGATCGGAAGCTTGGAAAAATTGTGAACAATGAGAGCAGCGAGATCATCAGGATGCTTCATGCAGAGGTGTGAAGCTTCCTGACCCATTGAGAGTGCTGATGCGCGACATAGTTCGACGAGTTCGCTACAAATAAGGAATTAGACCTGTATCCAAAAGAATTGAGGGGTGAAATCGATGCTCTGAACGAATGGTAGGACTTTCCGAGCTGTATTTCCAATGAGATCGCTCATTATCTTCCTGCAGGGTCTACAACGATGTAAGCCGATGACTCTCTCAGAGCTATCCTTAATCGAAGCTCAGATTAATAACGGTGTCTACAAAGCCGGTTTCTCCAAGGATCAAGATGGATATGAAGCAGCCGTATATCCACTCTTCGAAGCGATGGATCGCATCGAAGGCATACTTGCGAATAATGGAGGCGATTATCTCGTTGGCGGACGCCTGACAGAAGCAGACGTCAGACTTTACGTTTCGATGATTCGCTTTGATCCCGCTTATTATTCCACTTTCAGGGTGCGCTTTTGTCTATTTTACATGATACAGCTGAGGAATTCCTCTCCAGTGCAATCTCAAGGACATCCGACAGCAAGTATTCTTGTATGATCCGTTCCTCGTTGCGAGAACTGATAACGTGACAGCGATTATCCTCACATTCACAAATGGGTAAGCTGCAAGTGTCTTCTAATGTTCTGCTCTACTGATCCATTATTGGAAGCTTCGCCAACTCTACTGGAAGAATGATGCATTCAATTCAACGACCAATTTTGAACATTTGAAGGTCGGTTACAACCGTCATGGACATGTGCGTTGAGTTTTGATCCTCTCTGCCTTATGTTGACAGCCTTTTAGGTTAATCCGCATGGTATTGTTCCGGCTGGACCAAAACAACACATACTTCCTCTCTAAGTTACTGTCTGTTTTGAATCTGCAATGTCTAAATCCACTTGTGACTAACTGCGGTTCCTTCCCATTGATTGCTACAGGAGCCGTGCATAAACGCTGCTGGTTACATCCTCAATTAAACAGAGCATCCACGTTCCACAAGACTCCTAAATTTCTAGCGACCGTACAAACAACGTCGAACTCTCATTCGCCAGCGGTTTTCAATGACAATCCCGCCCATGCTGTGAGGACCACTTTCCAGGGTTACGCCTCATAACAATCGCAAAGAAATAAAAGCGGCCCTTGCTTTATTGGCACATAGAAACCACCTCAGCGCCAGCATCCCCCCCAGTTCTGGCTCCCTTAATGCGAACTTTAAAACCACCTGGTGGTCCTAGTTCCATTTCAAAGTAGCTGGCCGTAGGTCTTACTGTCGAAAGTCTAAGGGAAATAAGAACTCAGAACTGTAATAAGGAGGAGTACGAAAGGGAAGAACAAGCGTGAGCAAAGAGCCAACAAAATTGTACAGACAGGTGACAACGTAGCCAGTTGGCAGCTCAAACTGTCTCACAGGCTCAGATTGTACAGACAGGTGACAAGGTAGCAAGTTGGCAGCTCAAATGAAGGTAATGCTCTGTCATGGATCTGCGCTGATTTCAATCTTAGCTGATTTACTGACTGAGGGGTTCAACTGCAGCCGAATCGAGTCCTTTCTGTCTACATTGCACAAGAGTGCTTTCTCG